GCTAGAGGTAGCGGGTGCGGTGAGGGCGCGACGCTAGTGTCGCCGGGTACCTGTGGGCGGGGCTAGAGGAAGTGTGCGGCGACGCCGAGCTGCAGTCCGGGCGCGGCGCAGTCAGCGGTGGCGGCGCGCAGTGGCACGCAGTAGTTGAGCTCGACGCGCGCGACACGGCCGAGGCGCAGCGCGACGCCGCACCCCCCCGCCACCCGCACCTCCGACAGTGCTGACACCACAGACTCACCCTCCTCTGAAACATAAACAACGAAACTGTCACCTGACTGACAACATTAACACAATGAGCATAAATCAAACTAAATTGTATTAGCACACTAGCGCCCAAACCAACATGTTTGACTGTAGTAAGCTTTGACAAAATTTCACTCATATTTTGATCGTCAAAAGACATTAGAGTACCTGGATGAGCAAGACAGCCTGCATTCAAGAAGAGATGTGATCGGAACAGATCCGCCAGTCCGCCGCGAGATGACACAAACGGCAGCGGCGCGTACACATGCACGCCTGTCGCCCAGTACATCTGCACATACAAAAACATCATCTTACTAAAATAAATGCGAATATTTAGATGGATGTTTGTTTGAAGATATCTCCAGAACATGCAAACGGATCTTGATGAAATTTATCATACATATAGAACATAGTCTGGAAGAACACATAGGCTACTTTGTTTTTAATAGCTCGCAGACGGAGTCACGAGCGTGAGCTAGTTACTAGATATGTCTGTGTAGTATGGTATACATACAGTGCCGCCGAGCGCGAGGCCATCAGCCCGGGGTCCGACCCCGCGCTGTGCGAAGCCCCGCAGTGTCGCAGGTCCGCCCAGGAAGAACCGGTCTGCCAGCTCCGTGCCGAACACGTCGTGCAGCACGCCCGCAGCACACGTACCTTGTAACACCTGCAGCATACAACTCTGTTAAACACTTTTTCCACTAGCGTGAATGCTACTTATGTGTGCCATTTTACATTAGAAAAAAAAGTTACAATATCTTTGTTTGATTGTTATTATTATTTTACTAATTAACCGTTGATCTCTGAGACCAAAATCTTTGACAAAACAGAGATAAAAATAAGTTTTAAACAGGAATTTTGGTCTCAGAAACCCACGATATGTTGAATGTAACAGTAAATCTTTAGAGATCTTAGTGAGTAGAACCTAAAGGGTAGTAGATGTCGATTAAGGGTAGGCAAAGTGGTATCGCAGTCGATTCGCCATTTGGGCGAAGTGATTATACTCGCCACATTATCAGCGTAGGGCAGAGTGCCATTAGCCTCTGCCTGTAGTTCAGTGCGCACGTGTGCGACGCCCCCGCCCAGGCCGGCCAGGGCGCTGCTGAACTGCAGCCAGCCGCCGCGTGTGGGGAACACCGCCTCGTCTCTGTGGTCGATGCTCACAATGTGCCGCAACACTGACTTCATCTGAGGACCTGGTACACCAACATATCAGCTTATCTCACCTAAATATTATCCTGATGTGGACCATCAGAACGGCAGAAGACGTATCCTTGCATAGTAAATTTGGTACATCACCCATAACCAGTCTAGCAACGCTTTAACAACAAAGAAGGTTTTTCATGATAGTTTTGACCTTCCATATCTTAATCCTCTAATAAATGGGAATGTTTAGATGGATGTTTGTTTGAAGTTATCTCCAGAACGGCTGAACGGATCTCGCTGAAATTTGACATTAGAACATAGTCTGGAAGAACACATAGGCTACTTTTTAAGTGGTTTTTTAATTACGCGCGGGCGGAGTCGCGGGCGACAGCTAGTTTTTACTCACCACTACTTTCGCGGACTTTGAAGCTTGTAGTTTTGCTGAGCACCGAGGTCTCTCGCACTAAGCCCTCCCATTGAATGCTGTGTTTAGTCTTGAGAGAAATAAGATTTATTTATAAATTACTGGAATATAATTAAAATAAACTATTCCAATATATCCTTTTATGTGCAATTTGAGATATTTCCCGTTCAAATTTCCCATTGGACCGGTAGGCCGATCGGTCCAAAGGGCAAAATCACTATTGGGCCAATTCAGTACATATATTAAAATTAGATTGATTGAATCCTTAGATTTTTGATAGTCTTTCGGTCGAATCAGAAAAAAAAACACATATGTAAATACTTTGTGTAGTGTATGCATAAATATAGTGTTGTTTATCTCGAGCGTATACGTCATAAGTACATGCCGGAGAGAGGGGACGTCAGACCTTTGGACCGGCAGCACGTGTCGGTGAGAACGAGCCAAATATATCGCACTTTGTGTTTAAAAAAGTTTTAATATTAACATTTAAGATAATAATAATGACCTTTCGACAATGCGAACACTTATAAGCAAAGAATGTTTCATAATCTTACCGAAGGCGAGGTGTTGAAAGCAAGGTCGAGCAGCAGACCGCGGTCCAGTAACCGGTAGCCAGACCACGGGTACTCGTGGTTCTGCTGGTATACTGACGCTGATACACTGGAGAATGATACAAACTTAGCTACCACATTAAGCTATACATAATCTTGGTATGGTCAAGGAATTACATTCACTTCCCACTTACAAATCTATGTATATAAAAATCAATTGCTGTTCGTTAGTATCGCTAAAACTCAAGAACGGCTGAACGGATTTATCTTATCTTGGTCTTGAAATGTTCATGGAGGTCTAGATAAGTTTTAAAAAGTGAGAAAATTTGAATAATTGCCGGAAAAAGACTTTTCCCTACAGCCCTTTTCTTTTTCCCATATAAACTGAATGGATCTCGCTAAATGCCAAGCATAGATGTAGAACAGTCTAAAAGAACACAGAGGGTAATAATTTTTTTTTAAATTACGCGCGGACGGAGTTGCGGGTTAGAGCTAGTATAGTATAACAAATTATCATTGCTTTAGCACGAATCGCAGGAATGTATGTAGTTTTAGACATTATTAGTTACGATTCTTTGTATTTTTCTTCTTCTTCCAATTCTTCGTGCTGCGCCAGTACACCGGCACAGTGTCGGATTTTCTTCCTAACAGTAGTTATGACATATCCTAAAGATATGAAATATACGTGCTAGATTACTCACACAGGTGTCAGCTGACTGCGTGGGAAAGGCTTCGCTGTGGTCACACTAAAGTTGGAAGTGCTGCGATGTCCCAGGCTATACTCCGCCTGCACGCGCTCACCACGACCGGCCACATTCGGCATCTTTACACCTATACATCATGACAATGTCTAATAGCAACCTATGACATTAAGAGGAAGTACTGATGACACCCATCTTACTAATATTATAAATGCGATTATTTCGATGGATGGATGTTTATTTAAAGGTACCTCAGGAACGGCTAAGCTGATCTTGTTGAAATTTGGCATAAATATAGAACATAGTCTGGAAGAGCACATAGACAACTTTTTTAGTTTTTATTTAATGCAACGTGGACGGATTCGCGGGCGACAGCTAGTACATCAATAGAAATGAAAGTTTTTGCTTGCAACCAAAGCAAAGATCAAATAGACACAAAGAACCATGTTTTATAGCCTGTCCAATAATTTATTGAGGTCAATGACCCCTTGACAATCAAAATAAGTTCTAATGTTTACTATACCTAAGTAAGAAATTACCTTCTTGATAGATAAAAATTAATTAACTCTGTTTTTATTTAAGGGAATTAGAGAGCAAAAATATTATTACAATCAAATAATAGAACACTCTGTGATTCTTCTCTTAAGTCTTATACTTACCAATAACCAAGTTTCCTTCATTCTCGCTTACCGTCGTATTAATACCGCCTACAATACGCGACAGCTCTTTTACATTGAAAGTCACCTGAAAAGCATAAAGCTATCAGTTTGTGTCTTTGTTTTTTTTTATATCAAAAGGTGGCAAACGAGCAATCGGCCACCAGAAATCGCTGAAATAGCGAAGTGACCGTTGCCCATAGACATACGCAATCGCGTATGCGTTGCCTACCTTTAATCGACGGAGGAGAGGATGCACAGAAAGAAAATATTTCCCCTTCCATGCATCCTCTCATCCGGAAAGTCCACTTCCACTTCCCATCCTTTCCTTCTAAGAAAAAGGGTGAAAAGGGAAAGAGGACTAAATTAGGCCTACGGGACGCACACTCATCGGACGAAACGCGAAATTGCTTCCACTTGACGCGTGTCTTCTGTGTGGTCGTGGTATATCACCGGGCGAGCCGGACCGATTCGTGCGAAGATGTTAAAGCGGGCTCTACCACTGTTCCTTGTTGGTCCGATGAACTCAACGGCCCAAGGAAAAAAATTTTCAAACAGGATTCATTTCAACTTTGTCCAATTGAATCCATCTATTATCCAATAAGAAAAAATCCCACTAGGCCGATTATAATATACTATTTATTAGCTAGGCTAGCCAACCGATTGGGAAATACCCTAATTTAATTAGTTGCACAACAATAAAACTTGGACACTCTCAATTTGTTTATGATGTTTAAATAGATTGTGATAAATTAAAATTGGGGTGGGCATTAACAATACACACCTCGAGTCCTTCTGGAGTTGCACCTGGTCCTGAAGATACGTCGATATAAACACCAATCTCACGGAAACAACCCATCGCATCCAGAGCTTTTCGTACCTGACAAAATCAAACTTACTTGAAAAATTCGACATTGGGAAACACATAGATTGTAAAATATCAATTAATAATCTTACTAATATAAATGCAAATGTTTAGATAGATGCATGGATGGATGGATGTTTGAAGGTATCTCCAGAAATTGATCTCCATGAAATTTGGCATACATGTAAAACACACTTAGGAAGAAAGCAATGATATTTTTAATTCCACGCAGATGAAATCGCAGGCGACAGCTAGAACATGAATATTATTAGAAAAAAAAATGTTGACTTTGTTCCTTTTATACTAGTCTTAATCTCGAAAAACAACTCACTTTATGTGCTCGTAATATAACATCTTCAAAGTCTGTTGCATGGAACAGATCGTCAACTGCACTACGTACAATATCATCTTTGGTCCTACTGAGTCCATCCACATGCACTCGGTCTACTCGAGCCTGAAATGCATATAAGATTTATGTACATAATATATTTTTCACATTTTATATAATGCCAATAACAATATAGGCTTAAGTCCTAAACCCTACGGCTAGAGTAAACTAACCAATAAATTCTCTCCTGATCAAATGTCTATGAAAATATCAGATTACTCTTTGCTTGTATATTATATACTTACCCGAACTCCATTAAGCTGTATACTGGGCTTGGAGACAGGTTCATCTTCAAAATCAATAGGATCTTCCAGTCCCAGAAGCTCTGTCCCCACCTCCCCAAAGGCTTCACTTGGCCTAGACTAAAATGAAGAAAAGTTAATATTATAAGAAAATATTAAATAACTGCATATGTCCACTATCGAAGCGATATCATATCTGATTCTCTCTGAAAAGTAAATTAAATTTATTTTATCTTTTTTCGTATTCTTCTTTTTCTTAGCGATCATTATAACTTTTTACTTTATTTAATTCGAAAGATAAAGTTATTTTGGCTTTATAAGTACATAATTGAGTTTAAGGAGAATCATAAATTAATATTTCTAACCTTCACTTTTGTATACATTTTGAAATTGATATTAAAAATATTACAAATTTCATGACAAATACCTTAGCGTGAACAGTTCCCATTATTTTTGTTTCAGTGTATGGTGCCTGAGATAATTTTTATGTTTAATTTTGAATGGAAATATATATTGTTTTGAATTACATAAAAACACAATTTTGACAGATGATTAGCTGTCACTTGTCGGATTAAAAAGTTATAAGTCCTCTCTCCTGATAAATCTAATTATAATCTTATTTATTTGCATTTTAATTGGGTAATTTATATCGCTTATGATATTTCAATTTTGTTTTATTTAGTTTTATTATATTCTAAAATTGTTTTTAAAATTATTTTTATCGGCTGATCAATCGATATTATTTAAAGCTAGCAATTTTCAGCAATTCCATTTCACTTGCAAGCAATTTGCGTGATAGATATCCAAAAAGTTATACAATGAACTTGATCGACAATGCTCTTAGATATTAAAAATCGAAAGAAGGTATTAAAAGACTATTCAAAGGATAATTTATTGGCTTATGCATAGTAAATCGTAGACATAAGAGATATAAAAGAGTTTTAAAAACTTACAATTTTTACATTTGTTGTGGAAAGCAAGTGGAACGTATCAAATTCACAAATCTATGTCATGTCAAGTTGACATTTTATTTAATAAACCTTGCAGTATTTTGTTGGTTATGTTAACGAATACAGTTATTTATTAATTCACAATGAATGATAAGAATATTTTTAACTTTTGTAAACAAGCAGGATGCTGTGACACATGCAGTTTGAGATACTTGGGATTGAAAAGCCCTACCTTTTACGAAGATATTAAAAAATCTGCTCAAAGGGTAAAAAAGCTTCAAAAGTTCTTATATTTGAAAAATTATTTACGTGACCTTACTGAAGTCAGTCTAATAATAATATACAGCAGTAAAATAATAATATAACAAAGTTTTGTTAAGAGATACAGTAATGTATTAATTTTGTTTTGAAGTCAAAACTTGCGATGTTTAGAGACATCATTGATTATTACTTATAATAGATATTTAGTAGATCGTTAATAAGTTTGTTATTATTTTCAGTATAAAGATGAAAAGACAGAAGTCTTAGATAGTGAAAAGCCTCCAGATGATTCTAATAAAGAGACAACAGACGACTGTGACAGTCCACCTCCAGCTAAGAAGTTAAAACCAAACTTATGTGTGGTATGCCTTGGTATCCTACAGGAAGAAACATGGAATGACAGCTTTAATATGGTCAAAGAGGTCCTGGAGAGGAAAAAGTAAGCTTGTTTATAATAAATTAATATTTTCATAGTTTGTAGAAAAAAATATAATGTACTTTGGATAAAAAAATTGCAAATCTACTTATATTATAAAGAAAGATTGGATCGTGTGTTTGTTTGCATTAAGTATTTATCATTAGATTTCTTTTAATTTCATGTGGACAAAGTCATCAGCAACTGATAGTCACTAATGTAGTTATTTGTTTAGAAAATGATTGTTTAGATAACTTTTTTTTTTGATATTTTAAATGTCATAATTTTAATTTTTCAAATTTACAGATATACAAGTAACACATTTGCATGTGCGTTGTCTTCACCAATAGCAACTATACTCCGTGAGAAGGCTATGGCATTGCGTCTTGAAAAAGAAATACTAGATTACTATAGCAGTAAGTAAACATCAGCTCACTATACATACCCACTTAGGGTCTTGGAGCCTCGCGGGGAGTCCATCACCATCGACTGAGGGCTACCTCCCCCCAAGAGGGAGCTGCCTCTGCAGCTGATGCAGACGGGGTCGCGGACGAGAGCGAAAGTGTGCCCGTGGCGCTGTCCCGATGCATTGGAGGAACAGAGAGGTTTAGTGGGTATGCCTCCGCTATGGAGGCGAATCCCACATAACTACCATGTCTCCCCCGGGGCGCGGAGTATGCATAAAGACATATGATTCCTCTCTGGAAAAAAAAGTGTCTTGGAGCCTACCCTAAGTTTCCCTAACTTAGGGTAGGTGTGGTTAACTAAGCCATAGTCAACCACAGACAAGTGCGGATTGACTTCACACATATCTTTGATTTTCTTTGCATATATGTATAGGTTGTATGACAAACATATTAATCTTAAACTTCTTTATTTGCCCAATATCCTACTTCCTTTTGATTCTATTTGATAGAGAGAAAAGTTTTTTTTATATAATACAAGTTAAATGTTAATAGGTTTAAATATTTATAAACACCCTGAAATTGGTTTGCAGTTAAACATAAGACATTTTCATTAGTAATATTGTCTTTCCTTAGATATCGTGACACCTTTAAAAGAAGCATGGAAATGGTCTTTTGGTACTAAATTAGCACCAGTTATTGACAAGAAATTGGACTCTGGTGCAGTGTCGCCATTGTTGATTACATTTAGTTACGACTATTTAGATGATTTACAGGTAAATATAAGAAAAAATAGTATAATACGAACTTCAATCCACTGTCTAATGTATTTAATCTAGCTGTTGCCCACAATTAATTCCTAGCGAAATTAAGGAATAGACAGTAGTCTATGTGTTCTTCAGGACTACAGTGAGATCCTCGCAGCGATTGTAAGATATCTTCTAACTAATATTCATCCATCCATCCATCTAAACATTCGCATTTATAATATTAGTAAGATTTTATTTAATTTTCAATAATTTAATTACCCAGGACAGTGCCAAATGGAAGTCTGTGGTCTCTACCTCACCTATTCGGTTATGTGCGTGAGTTATTGTTGTTTTTTTTAAATAAAATATCATATTTTAGGAATTAGAAATATTAAAGAAAATAGCAGCACCATTGTTTGAATCTCGCCGTCAGCAACATAAACGCTTTGCCACCGAGTTCACAAGACGTGTTGTGGAGCAAGCACTACAGAATGTCACAGTTGATGCGCTTAAAGCGGCCAGCGAGAGTTGCTGCATGGCACCTGTTGATACAGCCGCTAAATGTGTTAGTGTTGTTTGTACACATTCACCTTTGTATCTCGGAGGAAGGTAAGATTTTTACGTATCTATATGTATTGTAAGTCTGTTGTTCTTACTGTGAAGGAAAACAGTGTGGTGATGGATATCTGAGAAGAAATTCAAATATATGTGTGTAGTCTACCCGCACTGGGGTAGCATGGCCTAGTTAACTCTAACTTAGTGTAGGCTCTGAGTCCCTATATCTAAGTATATCTTATGTATAAAATTTGCTTGTCACAATGTTAGTTACCATACTCCTCCGAAGCGGCTTGATCGATTGAAATTTTATATACATATTCAGCAGCTAAAAATGGGCTACTATCTGTTTTTCAATCATGCCCGGACGGTATCTCGGGCGAGAACTAGTTGTATTGATATAATTGGAGTGTGTATTTAATATCGATAAGGAAAGTAATTTTGTTTTATTTATAATTATAAGGTGACAAACGAACAAGCGGCCAACCTAATGTTGAGTTGGCACGTCGTGTATATTAGTGAACTTGTTTCTTGTGTGCCAACTATTCGTACTTTAAACCTAACCTCAAATAGCTTAATCTGCTTGAGCCATTTCGAAGTGTGAAGTGTTATGAGGTATTGTTACACTCAACAGATATATAAAATTAAGTCGCGACCTACCGCAGACTCCATGGATATTGTCAGGAAAGAGAGTGATGCCTTCTTCTGTTCAAGAGATCATTTTCCAGCCTATTGCTGATTTATATGGGTAAGATTTAAGTCTAAAGTAAATTAAATATTTAAATAAATATTATTTTTAATCGTAAGAAAAATAAAAAAATAAAAAAAAGTCTTTTGAAGTTGTAATTAAACCCATTTTCCACTGATCGGTTAGATGTACGACTGTCGTGTGTGACTGACATGAAATAAAAGGTCACGCGTTTTGTACAGTTAAACACCGTGGAAATGGGATTTAACTCCACTGATTACCATTATTTGTTTAGCTGGTGGAAATAGTGTTAAAGTCTTTAATTTTAGACATTATTAGTTAGAATTCTTTGGCGCGAATGACGTGCTTTCGTTATAAAGTGAAGTGTCAGTGAAGTGAGGGGACCAAAACACCATTTTAGTAAGGCTAGTGTTGTGCCAGTACACCGGCACAGTGTCGGATTTTCTTCCTAACATTACTCACTCTGCTGGAGCAGCGAACCAAAGTGGGTCTTGGCCTACACCACAAGAGATCGCCAAAGTCGCCTGTCCATCGTTGGTAGGTCCAGGTCCAGCTCAAGGGCGTCTTGCCAGCTGTATCTGTTAAAGTCCTGAGTATTGATATTACAGTATGTCGGAAGCGGAGGCGGAGACGAGACTGAAGTTGATAGCAGCAGGTCGCGAGGATGTAGACGTGCGATGTCTCGGACAAGGTCGACCTTTCGCTATTGAGGTGATCTTATTAATATTATAAATGCGAATGTTTAGATGGATGGATGTTTGAAGGTATCTACAGAATACATGGGTCTCGATGAAATTTGGCATAGATGTAGAACATAGTCTGGAAGACAGCCTACTTATTTTTTTTTAAATTCCGCACGGTCAGAGTCTTAGGCGACAGCTAGTAATTCTAGACTAAATATATTATGTATTTTTACCTATTATATATAACAGAGTTTAATGTATTTCACGGATATTTACTGAAAATATGTAAAACAATGTTTTCCGCTTTATTATTCGTTCCCCAAAGTTTTTTCCCTTAGATGTGATTGTGTAATTAATTGATTTGTATAGTAGTTTTCAAATATCTTAGCTGCTCTTAACTTTGCGCAATTCGTTGCGCAGAACACAATATTAAATATGTTGAGGCACAGCTTAGGGCACTGCGGAGAACGATGACCTTGGGCAAAGCAAGATATTTGAAAAGAACTATACTACTGCGTATTTTTTTTCTTATAATTTTTATATATTATAAACAGATTACAGACCCTCAAAGGCAGTTAACAACGGAGGAACTGGAGAAAGCCTGCAAATTGATAAGCAGTGCCGGTGACGTCATCGTCAGGACATTAGTGCCCATTGTTAAGTAAGTTACACAGATTATATTCAATAATAATAATATTAAATTGATTTAATCCGTTCAGAAGGCAAACCCTTATTTTAAAAACTACTTTGATAAAATAATGTAAGAAAAAACATACTAAAAAGTCGAAAAAAAAACACTATGTTTAAAAAAATAGCAAGCAAACAATATCTTATCAAATATTTAATTCTCTTTTCTACTAAGCGACTAGTATCGCAACTATCATATCTACACCAGTCGCTAGTTCTAAATCAACAAGCAAGCCGCAACTGTTATAAAAATAGTTACAATATTGTCGCACTAAAGTTCAAATGATTGGCTTTCAAAATGTCGTAATAATTAAAAATCATTTGAACATAAAAAAACGTACAGACGAATTCAGAACGTCCTTCATTTTTAAAATCGGTTTGAACTTTTCAAAATAAAAGTCGCGCGCGATTAGATGTTTAGTGGAAAAGTGGACTAAGACGGCATTTTTCAATTTATATGTGTTTCTATACAGAGATGATTTGGCTCTGTTGAAGAAAGGTGAAGAGACTAAAACTAAAACTTACGAAGCTATCTGTATTAAACTCACACGTTCCGAATTTGATCAGGTCAGTTCTATTTTACTAATATAACTAGTTGTCACCCGCGACTCTGTCCGCATGGAATTCAACAAAACTGAATTTAGTAGTCTATGTGTGTCTATGCAAAATTTCACTGAGATACCTACTAACAAACATCCATACATCCAAACATTCGCATTTATAATATTAGTAAGAAGTAATATTTGTATATTATTATTTTAATATATGAAACTTGAAAGCTGATATTAGCTTTCAACTTAAGACCTCATAATATCTATCATCATCAGCTCACTACATCTCCAAAAAGGTCTCCGACCTACTTTAAGTCACAGAAAAGGCATCTTTAAAACAGCTCGGATCTTACTGAAATTTAACATAGATGTAAAACATAGTCTGGAAGAGCACATACATTTTTTTTTAATTTCATGCATACGGATACGCGGGTAATAGCTAGTATATAATAAATATATCACTAACATATATAATAATATTTCATTTTCAATTAATTCATCTTTAGATGGATCCAAATGCCCCAATAACAGTGACAGATGTAGACTTAAAACGTATAAATACATATCGCAACACTCCTCTGAGTAACAAGGCCAGGATAGAGATATCTCAGGCAACGCCAATACGTGTGCTGCACAGGAGACCTCTGCTGACCAGGACACGGCATATCATCGATGTTCATGCTACTAAAGTATCAGGTAAAAAACTTTTTATATTGACACTTCCAATGAATATACATCTTGGTATTTTTTTTATATCATTATGTAGCAAATGAGCAATTCCAAATGTATTGCCTACCTTTGAGAGACTAGACGCTCAGTAATAGAATGATTCCTCTTCCTGTGCGTCTAATCCTCTGCCTTCACTTCCCTATTCTTTTATTATGGGTGGGAAGGGAAAGAGGACTAAAGTTTGGTCTCCGTTACTCAATAATTTCTAAATTTCGTTTTTCGATTTACATATGTACATTTTATCCGACGTTGTTACGGTTAAGGAAAACATCGTGATGCTGCACATATCTGAGATTTTCAAAGATCACCGTAACTTAGTGTAGGCTGCGAGCCCCTCGGTGGGGACGTATAGCTGATGATGAGTAGCATTGAAAGTGTTAAATGTTCGGTCAGGTTATCCTCAGCTGTTGTTGTTGCGCGTGCACACGTCAGCGGGCACGTACGTGAAGGAATGGGTGCACGGCGAGCTTGGCCGCACGCGTCCCGCGCTCGCGCACATACTCGGCGCGCGCGCGGACTTGCTCGCGCTCGACGTCACCGCAGTAAACCTCGCCTGGCCACCATACTAATTATACATATTCTACATATTTGTTACCGGTTTTTTTTATTTCCCCCTACATTCTACCGTCATTATTTTTAACTGTTAAGCAAAGCACTCATAGCTTAATGGTTAGGTTTTTTGAATATATGTAGTGGTACTAGGTTCGAATGCTGGCTAATCAATTATTAACGTAAACAAGAAATGTTAGTAAATTAGTAAGTCTACTAATATATATATATATAAAAGAAAGTGGTGTTAATTACACTATTTATAACTCAAGAACGGCTTTACCGATATGCCTGGAAATTGGCGAGGAGGTAGCTTAGTGCCAGGAGACGGATATAGGATACTATTTTTTTTTTTCGAATTTATGCCTTGAGGAGCTGCTTTTTATTTAACTTACTAATATTATAAATGCGAATGTTTAGATGGATGGATGTTTGAAGATATCTCAAGAACGGCTGAACGGATCTTGATGAAATATGGCATAGATGTAGAACATAGTCTGGAAGAACACAAACGCTACTTATTAAGTTTTTTTTATTCCGTGCGAACGGACTCGCGGGCGATAGCTAGTTAACATAATTTTAAAATAAAAGATCGCTATATATTTACTTATTTATTTACACCCTGTCCTGACTAGATATTAGAACATTAAACAGTTGCGTTACTAACATTTAGTTTATTTTGCAAACTATGTGGACAGTTATTAAAAACTAAATAATACATATAAATCTAATATACACATAATGGTATCAGTAATACTGACACAGCTTGTAGTTAGTCACACAAAATACATAACAGAATTATGTTTAAAATAACTACTATATTTTCTATGTATAGTCAAAAAAGGATATACAGGATGTCGTAAAAATGAAATAAAAATTCCCCTCTGGGTATTAAAAAAAATAAATGGCATTATGCTATTATGTTATCGTCAATAACCCTTTATCAATATGAAATGAAAAAAAACAATACAACTAACAAATATTTTAAAGAAAATTGAAATTGCCCCAGAAGGTGTATAATTTTTAAGTTTTTAAAAATGGCATTTTTTTTTAATACCCAGAGGGGAATTTTTATTTTATTTTTCTGGTGACCCTTGTGACCACCCCTATCATCCCCTTTCCTATGTACGTAACCTTTTGGGACATCCTGTATGACCAGAATAGAGTGGCGCTGCTATCGCTTTTAGTTATAGGTTATGACACCTAAATAGGCTTAGAATATTGTGATTGAGTTGACAGGAGGGCGCTAGTGAGCTATCGTAATTTAGTTTGATGCTCATCGGGTCAGATATCCTTGTCAAAGTGTACAAAAAATACAAGAGAACGAAAATGTAAAATTATTCAAAAAGCATTCAAAACAATTTTAAATTTTGTCAAACGCGCATATGTCAGATTTAAAGAAAATACTGCGAAACTTTACTTATAAACATTTACATTTTCTGTAAGTGTCAATAATTGGCGCCAAAATAAAACATTTACCATCCATACTATTGACAATATTTGTTTTGTTTTATAATTACAAGATAAAAATATGCCTACATTTGGTTATCTATATTTAATCTCACTACAAGCTAATGTCTTTTCACGTAAACAAAAAGAATTTAAATTATAAGTAATATTACAAGATTAACTACCGTTAATAGGAACATAACTAATAAGTGCAAAATATTGAGCTACTGCAAATTATTTGTTTAAAAAAAAACTTTTGCGGGTAATCACATCCTGATGGCGGGAACACTGCCCCCTAAATGTACATGGAACATTTAAAATACAGCAACTTACAAACTTTTACATATTACAATCATCTTTGATATAACTAATTAATTAGTGTTCTTCTCTATTTTTAAACATTCTGCTTTATCAATAAAGATTTTTTGGTATTTCATTTTGCTGACATTTTCTCAATGAATTCTTGTAGAGCTAATGCTTTGGCTAATCTTCTTCTAAAATCCTGAAATGAAAATTAAGTATTAATAAAATAGTTTCAATAGATTTATTAATTAAAAATATAATTGCGTTTTGATATGATCAAAACAGTGTAAAAATGTACTTTATGTTACTAATATTATAAATGCAAAAGTTAAGATGGATGGATGTTTGTTTGAAGGTATCTTCGGAACAATTCAACGGATCTTGACGAAATCTGGCACAGATGTAGAATATAATCTAGAAGAATATGTGTTCTATGTGGCTACTTATTTTTTTAATACCACGCGGACAGAGTCGCGGGCGACAGCTAGTTGTTTTAATAAAGTAAAATTAAATTACCTGATGTAGCTGATGTCCGTTGCGCGGCACTCTGGTTGCGAACATGTCGCGTGACATGAGACAGAGTGCCTTGCCGTTCATGGGGAAGCGCTCGGGCAGGCCGCCTCGGGCGGATACCCACGCTCCGACCTCCGCCCGGCCCCATGTACGTGGATCTGACAGATTGAAGATTAGATTAATAATTTGGTTGGTCATACATTAAGGATTTATCACATTAAATTTAAATTCAACTTTTCTAAAATTATGTATAATAAATAACGCCGATATTAGACAGAGACCAATGGGTTCTAAATTACTTGTTTTTAACTGAGAAAATAACCATGTGCGATCTATAATAGTAATATAAGACTTTAATTTATTATACATACCCAAAGGTAAGTCGTCTTCCTGCAGTAGTCTGAGGTCGAGGGCTCCCCAGCTGCCGTCTGCGGGGGGCACGCGCTCGCAACGGATTTGTGTCGGCATGGTGCTCACGCAATGTGGGGGGTACGTCTGTAAACAATAGGAATGGTTCAAAAGGCTTTATCATGTCATTAAAGTTGGTAGGTACTAAAAAATCCGCAATATAATTATACTTTTAATAATATGTACTTTAGAAAAATCTCCATAGTAAAAGTATTTTTACAATTCAAAACAATGCAATTACATACGCCTTTTTTTCAATTGATTACTATAACTGCGGAAAGAAAACATCCTCCCAAATAATTACATAATAGCTCCACGCGCCATTTTTAATCCGTCATTAGTACGGACGCGTGACCCACATCCGGTTTCCGTCGCGAGCATAATGGCGGATTTTGAATAAACGATCGGTTTCCGCGGGCAAATGTAAGCTACACTATTCAATATTTTTTTTTCATTCGTGTTCATTTCCCGATATTTGTTGCGACGGATTTCCGTCTGCGCTTCGTATTCATTGTACGGAAGGTTATTGTGTGACCGTAGTTGTTACTGAGCTTATGTAATACTAGTTTTGTTGTTGTAACGGCTCGCTTCGAGCTGCAGTTACATGGATTCAAACCCGTGTCGTCTCGAATAAAGCGATTTGAGTAATGTATTACTAAAAATATATATGATTTAAATTACAAACATTTGTGTAAAACAAATACGATACAGAGAATAGGATCATGCCGATATATTTAAAGCTTAATAATAAAGATGTATGGCCAGAAATATTTAAAGCAGTTAACTAACTTCCAAAAACTCTATTGTTATTAATTGAATAGGGATATCGGAAAAGTTAATGTATTAAACAAAACTTAAGTAATTTTTTAGCCGATATGACAGTTGATCATTTGAGCGGAAGCACGCGCACCATCTTCCCGCCAAACGGACGGACGTACCATAATCGAAATCGACACTTCCGCCCAATACAAAAAAGGAACACATTGTCGGTTTTTTATTATACGCCATTATTGACTCTTGAATATCTTTAAATGCCTCATTGTTTAATTAAATAGGGAATGTCGGATATTTTATTGCGCGGCGGATGTTAATTACGAACGTCTGGAAGCGAACTGAAGGCGGTTAATTTATGACTAAGGAAAACACATAGCTAAAACTAAAGAGCAAACGATTGTGATTCATATATTTCTTTTAATAGATCGGATCAACAGTTTTATTTTTAAATTGATTTCAACAAGAGGCATATCATTTATGATTTTTTTAATACCATTATAATAAAGTATAGATAATTATTTCAGTATCTGAGAGGTTTTGTGACCCTGCCGGTCTTTGATTTGTTTACCCTATGGAACAGAGGTGACCAAGACTATTAAATAAGAAGCGTCGATGGCTCAGGAGTTTAAGCACTTGACTTGTAATCTGCAGGTCCTGGGTTCGAATCCCGCAATGTACCAATGTTTTTTTTTCTATTTTCGATTTACATATTTACATTTGTCCGACGTTCTTAAGGTGAAGGAAAACATCGTGATGCAACCTGCACATAATTAACCGTAACTGTATAGAAATTCAAAGATATGTGTGAAGTCAATTAACCCGCACTTGGCCAGCGTTGTCGACTATGGCCTAGTCACCCCTAATTATTAATATTATAAATGTGAATGTATGGATGGATATATTGATGTTTGAAGATATCTCCACAATTCGTTGAAATACAATAGATGTAAAACATAGTCTAGAAGTGCATATAGGCTACTTATTAAGTAATTTTAATATCGCTCGGACGGAAACGAGGGCGACTGGTAGTTATATATTTTTAAATTTACTTAAAACTAACGATTATGCTTAGTAAATACCTATTTATATCAGTGTGAGAATTACGTCTGAGCATCTTCCGTTACGGTTCGTTTTACGCATATTTTTGCCCAGTTTTGTACGGTTGGACTAATAAGTCTCGATTGACCGGTCAACCGAATCGATATATAGTATTTTGGAATGAGTAAATACGATAAAGATTTTGTGTGCAAGAAATACATTACATACCTAACCTTACTTTTTACTATCTTACTAATATTATAACGGTATAACCTATAACGGTCGAACGGATGCCGCTGAAATTTGACATTGATGTAGAACATAGTCTGAATGTTTTTTAACGCCGTAAGGACGGAGTCCCAAGCGATAGCTAATAAATAAATAAAAATTAAACCATATTAGGTGACGTATGTAACTGTACTGGCCTGTACAAAACCAAATTATTTGTGACCAATAAATGAAATGAGTCTCTTCCCGCTATTGTAACGCGGACGTCAACGGAAGCGAGAAAGCGCGGGAAAGACGCTGTCAGTGCTATGGCGGGAAACGGGCGCCGCAAACAATGATGGTAATTATTTTAACCGCAGTCTCACAAAAGCCTTGCGATCGCAATTTCCTTTGTTATTTTCACATTGCAAGATAACAGTTTGGATAAACAACTGTTTATGTTTTATGGTTGTATCTTATTAACTTTCTTAGGCTTATTGTCTTTCCAAGAAACTTTGTTGTAATCGTCTCATGTACTAGATATTATTTGTTAAATTACAATTATATATAAATGAATATTTGATAAAATCAACGCTTTCTTATAATTACACAATCATTGTAACCACTTATTTGGAAAATACTTCTACTAATATTGACATGTCGTAAATTGCTATAGTTAATTTTTTTATAAGAGAAAGGGGTAAACGAGTGGCGGGAACACCGAGGTGATCAACGACAATAATTAAATAATGGAAATTCAGTTCATTTTCAACTTTACGAATGATAAAATAAGATAATTTCTAGATTATAACATGCAAAGTTAAAGTTTAAGGTATTTTATACCTATTTTTATATTGATATGTATTTGTTAAGTAAGTTATAAAACATTTTTGATGATAAAAATAAGTTCTTAGAACTACAGTATAATTTGATATCTTTAAACAATGAATGAATTGAAGGTGCAGTTGCATTTTAAATTTTACATAAACTTTAATCTTTTTTCCATTTGTACTTTAAAAAATATTTAAATAAACGTGATTTTTCAAACATACATAATTAATTTATAATAAACTTACCATTAAAATCCTAAATGCGACTTCCCACAATCCAGATTCCCACAGAGTAATGCACAAATACACGATTTAATTAATTACACAAATTATAATTTACGATGTCAAAATTTTAATACGAATTTATTCGCTACAACACAACCTACGAATCGACCGCTCTTCGACGCTGACGTCGAATGAATGATGAACGAAATGAAATTGAATGAAATATGACGTCCATGAATCAACGAGCATGTTTTTCTATTTGTGTCAAACAATATTAGGCTATATTCCATTGAAATAAAGTTTATTCTTGCTTCCAAACTCAGATATTTACACCCTTTCAACGAGATTTGCAAGCAATGTCGTTGGATGCGGGTGATATGGATAGTCTACACCTCTCTTTCTAACGAGTGATGTTTTAGGTAAGAGGAAGCGGGACGGGAAACGATGTTTTTAAGAATCGATAATGAATTTCTCGCATCCTGTCTGTCAGCGTGTGGTTCTGAAACTAATCGTTTCCGTATACCTTTTCGTAAATAGAACGGCGTAAGAGTACTTATGTTGGAATTTAATACAGATTTTAATCAATTGAAATAAGATTGATAATCGAATAGGTTACTTTCATTTAAATATTGATCGTGTTATTTTGAAAGGCGCGGCAATTAGGAACATACATATCCGGCGCTATTTCAGTTTTCCGCGCGAATGTATTTTAGGAAATAGCAGACGGCCCTTTTTATGTCACAGCCTAAATTACTTTTTTTAATTTTACATTAGTGTTTAAGTGATTTATTAAAATGATTGCCGATGTTAGATAAATATTGCTTTTAAATTGGTTAATCTACACCTATTAAAAGTCCGTGTTTATTCTGGGTATTCTGGATCGATTTTAATTAGACTTTCACTGGAATGTACTGATTATCTACGAATATCTTGTTATCCGTAAACATAAAATTGTAAATAAATAGTGTTGTAGTATCGACAGACCATTATGAATATCCGTTAGACGTAAAATAATTAATTAACGACTACTTCTTGTTTATGACTACCTTCACATCATTAAGTGCGTAAAAGATTTAACAGCTGGTTTTGACAAGTGCATTCGCTTTGAAGCGATTCCATAACGAACTACAAAAATATATAGAACTCACGATAACTTTCAATTAGAAATTAATTCTAGTTCTTATTTATTTATTCCTGACTTTTCTTGATATTTATGAGGTAGTACCTGGATGACTGAGCTTTGCTCGGTATTTTTTTTATTGTGTTTTTTGGAAATTACATTTAAGTACGAATTACTAATAAAATGATGAAATATGAATAATATTTTTCGATCTTACAGATAGAAAAAGTTAAGTTTATATTTAAGTTGATTATAGATAAAACACGAATAAAATGACATTTTCTAAGAATGATTCCTAGCTATCGATTTATCGCCCCCGAAAGCCCCTATATACTAAATTTTATGAAAATCGTTGGAGACGATATAAAAGAATTGCTCATTTAAAGATATAAGATATAGCCCTCTGTCTATGTTAGTCTCCTGTCCCACTAGGTTGCCTGGAAGAGATCGCTTATAGCGATAAGGCCGCTTGCTAGGAAAATTAGTTTTTAGTCATGTTTATATATATTGTAATTGCATTATGAATTAATAAATAAATAAATAAATAAATACCCAGAAACTAGATGTATAGGTTTTTATCTATAGATCAATCATTAACTAATGAAATATTTATTTGATGTTAAATATTCAGATCCGTTTTGTTATCGTGAGCTTGGCCATCTTTTATGACGTATACGTGACGTTTAGTAGTTTTGTAATGGAAACTAGAATACATTCAAAAGTTACGGCCACCTCACAATAAGACGGGATGTTGTAAAAACGCACTTTTACGCCTATCGTATTTAACTAGCCGGGGTCTGTTTGCCGCACGCTTCCGGACCACTTCCGGACAGACAGACATCTTTATATAATAAACTTGTGTCGGCGTCCGTCCGTCTGCGAAGCTACAATTAAAGTCTTTTGTCGTTGCTGATTCTTTATAACAGTCTTCCGGCTTTTTTCTCTCCTTTTGTTGAATATTTTCGTGCGTTAATTTATATTGTATCTATTCTTGGAATGTATGGTTAGGTTGCTTGTGCCCTTTGGTAAATTAAAAAAAAAACAAATTGACAGATGGACTTTTGTGTTGTTAAAATTACGAAATAAAACAGTTATACAAAAGAATCGTATGTAATATTATTAATTGTTATTTTCAGCGAACAATTTAACACTCGATCGATTACTTTTTAACATTTTATCTACCTTTGATAAGTACCTAATCGTTTTGCATTATTTGTAGGAAGTAGGTAATTAAATCGATAATGGATTGGACATCCTGTAAATACAACGAACAAGACAAGAGTTGGTAATTTGAATTAAAGTAATTCACGCAATTTGTATGAGGCATATGTGTGTTTTCGATTTTCGATTTTACATATGTACATTTATCCAACGTTCTTACGGTGAAGGAAAACATCGTGATGCTGCACATATCTGAGAAGAAATTGAAAGATATGTGTGAAGTCAACCAACCCGCACTTGACAAGCGTGGTTGACTATGGCCTAATCACCCTTAACTTAGGGTAGACTCCGAGCCCCTCGGTGAGGACATAAGTGAGCTGATGATGATGATGTATGAGGCATTTTTGGTATCTGGAAAATCTTCGTAAGATACTTTGTCTTCTGGGGAGAAGACATGTGATTGACCAACTAAAGTCTCCTAAGTGGCTTATGTCGAACGTAATCGAAGACGGTTCCGGTAAGTTGAAGTTGCCTGTGATCCTAATTTCAAGATCAAATAGTAAATACAAAAAACTTTATTTACTTTACCATAAAATTAATCATCAAGCGGCTGTAATTTAGTTCAAAGTGGACAATACATTGAAACGTCAGATACTACGTTACTTAGGGTGAGTTGCATCAACTAACTATAACTATAATGAGCGCCTTACATCGGTTAAATCTACGGTTGCGCAAAACATAAGCAACTGTATATTGCCTGCAGATTATAAAACATACCTATAGCTAGATAGTTACTATACCTTAAACGTGAGACCCCGTACCTACGCTAAGGTCTCACGGCTATAAACATAAAACAACAGTCAGGTAAATATTTAAAAGCATTTGTATCCCACTGGACATATACGTGACTTTAATCCAGGAAAGTCCGTGTTTTTTTCTCTGTCGTCAATAATGTTTCGACCATCGCATTGTGTGTACCGGACGTGGTGTGTAAACACCTTTACAATATCGCTTTGGTCTTGACTCGTCTTCAATAACGCAAAGGAAATGTATAAAATAAAACATTTTTTTGTATAACGTTCCCTTAATTGAAGTCAGGATAAAGGAAGCTTTAAAATGTTGTGTACACAGACAAGATAAAGTAATTTTAAAATATTTTTTAAGTTGCTTGAAATATTTAAAATAAAAAGTGACAGAATTTTATTAAAAATCATCAAATTAGTTTTAATGATTGCAATTTTTACGACGTTAAGCATTTAAACAAACAACATAAATATAAAATAAGTTTCCATGTTAAAAAAAATACCCGCATCGATACACGTAGTTTGAAAAAAAAAACAAATGTCACAGAGCGGAAGTGGCGGCAAACGGTAGAAATGTGACAACAAGAAAAAGCCTTTATGTGTACAACAATGGCCTCAAAATGATCCTATTTCTGGATAAAGTCTTGCGTCAAGCCGGAACCGGCTAAACAGCTTATTTTTCTGAGGGCAGAATGAGAAATTAGTTACATCCGTTAAGGTTAGCTGTCAAATTTTGACGGGATTGCTGCCAATTGCAAAAAATACATGTATCGTCAACATTTTGGTTTGAAATTATATTTTTTCAACATAACTTTGTTTTCAATCTCTCATTGATTAAAATAGTTTGTAGTTTTATTATTAGACGAGAACATCTTATTAAAATCTCTTTAACGAAATTTCGCACTTTTGAGTTTTACGACTCAAATACCGCGTTCTGAGATATGTAAAAGAAGCTAGAATCTATCTGTTGACTAGACCGTAGTGTAGATTATGAATATTATTTATATTTTTTCTTTTATATACTTTATTTTGAACACATTTTATTTTGGGTACATGTTACCCTAAGGTAACTTACCCCTGGCCACTTTTTCAAGCGACAGGCGCGCGGCGTGCACGTGGCAACGATTCTGCCGTCTACAGACGCGCGTGAACTTTTTACAATAACTTTTTATAAGCAGCCTGAAATCTAAAACTTACATTTGCCTTAACTTCATCATTACTTAACAAATTAAACAGTTAACGCTGATGTTAATGGTATTTGTAATTTTTAAATAATTATTTTACAATTATGGCATGAACAAGCACCAACTATAATATGTGAATACTTTATAATAGCTTCTTGGTTTTCTTTTCTTTGTTGCTGAATTAATTTCTTTTGGGTTTATATAACTTTAACAAGATAATTTTCGTAAATTAATTTTAAAAAATGAAAGTATTTGTCATAATTAAATTGACATATGGTTTTACTCACTCCTAGATAAAAAAAAATTGTGCTTTTTAAAAGCATGGTGGGCATAGGCAAAGTTTAAGTCCACTTGACTTCAGATTGCTTTAAATATGGAAGTTAAAAGCAATCGTGTTCATTAGTTTCCTTTTTTACTATCTACTAATGGAAGATGTTACTTTTAACGCTATCATAATGAGCTAAAACTGAATGCCAGAGTGTTGCCAGAAAAAATATTTCGGCCGGAAACAAGGGACCCGTTCCAAGTTAATTGCCAATGGATGTGTCATTTTTTATTACGGCAAAGAAAAAAATGTCAACATTAGGGTGGTCCAAATAATGTCCGTTATTTAGTAAGGTCAGTTTTGTCGGGACTTATCACGAATACTAGCTGTAGCCTGGTCCGCGCGTTATTAAAAAAAATTAAGACTTCCAGACTATGTTCTACATCTATGCCAAATTTCAGCGAGATCCATACTGCTGTTCTCGAGATACCTCCAAACAAACATCCATCCATCTATCCATCCAAACATTCGCGTTTATAATATTAGTAAGAAGTAGATTGATTTTGTTGTGGCTTTAAACTAATAATATGCTTAAAATCATGAGATTCAATAGTCAATAATTTTTGGATCGTATTATACATTGTATGATTGATTAAATCAGGTCGTTGTTTTACAGATTCTACTCGTTTAAAAAAAAACTTTCACTAAACAGATAAGATATGGCGACGCGCCAAATCAGTATTTCCGATTGCGATTGTTTTGCATTTTAATTGCATATCACAAGGTCGACCGACAGTCGCTTCCTATGAATCATAGAGCTAGTCATTAATACCTTAATTATGTACAGGATAAGGCAGAAATTGACATCATCATCAGCTATACGTCGCCACTGAGGTGCTAAGAGCCTATCCCAAGTTGAGGATGTAATTCGAACACGGTACACACAAACACATTGGTACACGGTGGGATTCGGACCGAGCACCTGCAGATTACAGATCAAGTACGTAATCCCTGAGTCACCTACGCTCTACATTTTCATTATAAGTAGTCGCACGGGCAGCGCTGTCTTCGCTATTTCAGCGATCAAAAATCTATACAAAGTTCGTATTGTTATAGAAAATCCGACACTGTGCCGGTGTACTGACGCAACACTAACCTTACTAAAATGTCGACATTTATGTCCCCTCACTAATTATTCTGACACTGACTTTTGTAACGAAAGCGCGCCATTCGCGCCAAAGGATTCTGACTAATAATGTCTAAAAGTATGAACTCAACACACTTCGTGACAATGAAGGAAACTTGTTTTAAAACTAGGGAATGGATTAAAAATAATTAACGTAACATTAAGGAAGTGTCGACGTGCGTTAGTTACACAGGATACAAATGCAAAACGCCGGCTACGCGCCGTCAGCAATAAAACTCCATTGTGGGCTAGCTTCCCGGTCGGATGCGCCCTCCGGCGTTTATCCGGCCCAAAGAAAGCCGGCAATTGTTACCGGAGATATCGACCTCTTCCTCTTTACAAACCATATCCTTTTCTTTATAAGACGTTTTAACGGTCTGACGCGAGATCCTTGAATACTTACCAGCTGGTACTGGCGGCTCCGTCCAAGGAATTAAAAAAAAACTAATTAGTAGCCTATGTGTTCTGCCATATCCGTGTCAAATTTTAGCATGAGCTGTTGAGTTGTTCCAGAGATACCTTCTAACAAACGACTATCCATCCAAACATTCGCATTTATAAGATTATTCACCTCGTTGTTCCCGCCATTCGTTTGCCCCTTTGTCTTAAAAAATATAAAAATAAGAAATAAACAATTGTAATATTCATCAATTTATAAACCGTCAATAATTTGTAAAATTAAAAAACGATATGAAATTAAGTTGATTTTTTATTAAAAAATGTGTCATGTGTTATTTAATTTTTAAATAAATATTATATTATTATATTTAAAATTGGAATGCAACTATAAATACCGTATGGTTCAAGTTAATTCGCTATTAGATAAAAAAAAAATTACTCCAACTCTTCTGCATGAATAACAGTAAATTTCATCCAAGCTTAAACAGGCAATATTTATTTTCATATTACCATGGTTACTACAAAAATTTCAATTAACTTTTTTTTGCTGGAAATGAAACACCCAGAAATTATGTCTTTATATTTAATGGCTTGATTATGCACTAATAACATCACAGTATTTATTATCATACATAACAATCATTTTTGTTTTACAAATTATACATGATAATTTTGAAAATATCATTTTATACTGTTTTTATATCGCCCGCGACTCCGTCGGCGCGATATTAAAAAAAGGTTCCTAAAGGGTTTTCCCGGCAACTATTCAAATTTATCTCATCTTTTAAACCTCCCCTAGACCTCCATGAACATTGCAAGACCATGATAACATAAATCCATTCAGTCATTCTCTAGTTTTAGCATGTCTCACATGAGCAATTGATTTTTATATAAAAGGATAGATTAGGCCGCCCTCAACTATATCAGTCTGTCATTAAATTAAAAAAAAAACATAATATGCCTACTTTTATCAGCTACATTCCCATTAGTTGTTAGTTGGAACAAACACAACTTTACAGCCAGACATACAAACAATATTTTAAAAAATTTGCTTTCTCAGTATCAACAAAAATACACCATGTATATGAAATAACATTTTTCATTATAACATACAGATACTACAATTTTATTTATATATATAGATAGGGTTCTTTATTTAACACATTCAATACTATGAACTTATAAGCAAAGGCAGTTTCCAAGAAAAAATGGTATTAGCATTGAAAGTGTTAGTGTATCTTTTATTTCCAAACTCGGCTGGTCACTACAATTATTTTGCTTATTAAGTTAGATACTAAAGTAAATAGGTTGTCTATTTATTATGCTAAGCTCGTCCGAGAGGCACAATAAATGAGAGCATATCTCCAGTAGCTCCCCATGACACTCTATTTAACTGGAACACCGTGACCCATGTGATAAGGGCACAAGCCCACACTGCTGCCCCCACTGCACTCATCAGCACATCTGTAATCATCACAAAGTTGTTTGTTCAATTGCATACATTAAACTTTTTAAAAAATTTAAAGTAAATAGCAGTATTAATACTCCATTTTCTAAATTAAAATGAATTCAATTGACATCATCAGATGTCACAACTTACATTTTTTTATCTGTTTCTGCTCTTCAAATGGTGGCCTTACGAAAGCTTCTTTGAAGAACCATACAGCATTTACAGCCCACGCGAATGGTAGAAAGATGCAGCCAACTGTAATACCAACAATTATAAAATTTTATTACAGTTCTGGATTATATCTTATTTGCTGTGATTAATAAGCTGTACCTTTAAAATACCATCTACATAACTGCAGTTTCTTATCATTGGGAAGTCTATTCAAATCCATTTTCTCGACTTAATATAATACACACACGGGAAATAAATAAATAACCCAATATTTTTTATTTTCAAGTTATTGACAATCTCTATCCAATTTCCAATTAAAATGTCAAAGTTGTCAATGTCAAAGTCAGCAATAAGCACAGACGAATCACAGGCACGCGAAACTCTATTAGTCTATGGTACAAATTGAACGCAAACGGAGATCCTCCATCTTGAAAATTGTGTCTATCCCACTCAGGCACACGAAACTCTATTAGTCTATGGTACAAATTGAACGCAAACGGAGATCCTCCATCTTGAAAATTGTGTCTATCCCACTCATAAGTTTCTCTATAATTTTTGGGCTGTTTAAAAAAAAAAAAACCATAGTGCATATGAATAAATTGTGATTTAAAAATTTATAATTTCTTTATATTTAAAGTTTAGATAATAAATAAACAACAATTTAATTAAGTTATTTGAAGTATGTAATTTAAAATTTACAATTTATTTGTATTCATCATGAAAACGAAATTTTTTATGATATTATTATATTTAAAATCTAACCTTATTTGGTAAGAATATTGTAGTTTCAGTGTGAATTGTGGGATTAAGTGTATTATAATTTTGAGAGTTAGAAAGCTGATGTTTTCTTCTGAGAAGATATCCAAGAACCATGTGGTAATTACATTGTGTTTTTTAGTATTATATTTTGTATTTTTTGTTGTTTTGACTATTATTCTATCTCACTACATATCAAATAAAGTATCAATGACTATACTTGATATTTTATGTACGTAAATAAATCTTATTCCATATTTACGTTAAAATGTTGCTAAATGTTTTTATATTCGTAATTACTTAGTAAAAGTCAATGAAATGAAAGTTCGCTTTGAAATTGTATAGAAGTTCTAAATAACATAAAAGGTAATGCTTTATAAAACCGAATCAAGCCAAATTTCCATTACATATGTCTTAAACGATAGGGAATATTCTTACACTGTTTTGGAAGTTTTTTTTTTGGAGTCGTAACTTAAGTTGAAAAAAAAACGAAGAAAACTACATAGGGTAAGTTAAGTTTGGAACAATAGAAAAGCGCAGGATAAGTAAAGCTAGGTTTATAACATGTAATAAAACACCAAAAGCAAACTGGAAAGGTTAGGTTTGGAACATTTTTAATACCATAAAAAAACATCGAAAAAGCGAAAATATTTGCTATTATAACATGTGATTTTATAAAAATTGTGAGTGTCAGCATACCTGTTACAAAACTGAAAACATATGAAACAATTTTAATATCTTAATGAAATAAATTAAGACCCCGAAAAAAAATCTTCATAGCAATATATTCATCTTCAGCAATCTTCATAGCAATAATACTCATGATGATCATTTCCTAAAGTTTAAAATTGATTTTATGAAAACTTGGTTTGATTCGCTGTTGTAAAGTTGTTCCAAATAAAATTATTATTCAAATGTTAAAAGACTTTGTTTATTGTTGTGTTTGGGTTGGACTTTAAAATGGGAGTGTGACTCACTTTCCAATGACAAATTGACCGAAATTTATTATTAAAAAGTACACATCTTTAGGTTTGTTTATAATAAAATTATGAATAACATCAACACTATGTGATTCAATAAAAATAAAGATATCTGTAATAGTTTATTTTTCTATTTAAACTAAGTTACCAGCAGTTACATTCAACCTCTGAAGTTTTTGTAACTTATTAAATTAGCTTTACAGTTATAATTAACTACAAAGGAAGAACATTGTATGAACAACTTATCAATTTTTAATACTTTCTGTTTTTAGGTGTGAAACAAGTAAAAAGCAGTAGAAAACAAAATCTATGGATTCACAGAAATAGAATTTGAACAAAGATAAAATTTTACATTCTATTCATATTTAAAAGAACTAAATGTTGAACTAGAACTTATGACCTTTTGCTGATTGCTGAAAAGTAAATTTACAACAAAAATTGATGAAAATAACATAAAAGTAAGTACAAGACATATGCCAAATTCTACATGGTAAGTGGTAAATATTAAGTATTAATAATAATTCCCAAAGCACATATTTCCAGCAATTATTTGAACAATTTTAACCTTTTAAATTGGCTTGATATTTAGTATAATATGGTTTGCTCGAAACATGAAAAAGATTCAATAATAAAAATTAACTTAAACAATATTTAGGTTGTGTGTAGAATATCTCTCTATTATTGTAGATTAAACTGTAAATTGGTCATGTCATGACAAGTTTTTCAAACTAATTTGATTTATGATTCTATCATAGACATTTCACAAAAATGGGCAGGCAATAAAAGTTCCAAAAAATCTGTACCTGT